AATTAATTTTTATTTGAAATCATGCTCAACCTAAAAATACGAAAAATCAACAAATATTTGTTTAAAACTAAATATTTGTAATATATTCAATTATCCGTTTAGTACGTTTTACGTTTGTTTTTATATATTATATACGACATAACGTCCATGAGCCTAGTACTTAGCATACGCAGCTTCCTATGAAGTATAACGCATAAGAAATTCTAAATATATATTCATATACAATTATATGTACATATGTAAATATGTATTAAATTCATTAACCAATGAATAGGTACTATAGAAAAAATATACATAAATTAAAAATATGAAACTATTTGAGCGCAAAACAAATATGTTTGTAACTGATTTAAAAAAAAAATGAGTTTACCAAGAGTAAGACCCGAAGAAAAGTATTTAATAAATTAATTTAAATTTTCAAAACTATAGGTACAATATTACACAATTAATCAATAAACGCGCGCATAATCAGATTAGCTAGCTGTATTTTAGAAATTACATACATATGTGGCATTTCTTATTTTTCACTTTTTCTTTGCTTACTTATAATAAATTCTTATATGTACTTATTTTACCAGCACTAAGTTATTATCTTTTGCATTTGTGACTTGTACAACTTATCGAAGAATTTCAATTTGATATTAAGTGCACCGCTAAGATCAAGGACATTGTTGGAAAGCAATTTTCTACAAAGGGAAGTATATTAAACATTTGTTTCAATTTTTTTTTTAATTTTTTAAAAATGAAAAAGTTATTTATTATTTTTATAACAGCATAAAAATACCTCCAAAACAGCCTTTTTGATCAGGCATTCTAAGGTCCAACTCATTTTAGTTTGCATGTAAGCCACTTAGTTGGAGAAGAAAATCGTTACATAATTTAATTATGAGAAGTTTAATAACAACATTGAAGTCTTTAGATATGCATAAATATAGTTTTGTTTTCAATTTCAAAAATGTCTTGAAGAATCTCCTGTTTCTCAGCAATATGAAATGAAGTGTTTTAAATTAAAGCACTAATGAGTCAGTAAATGCGTGTACAGTGTTCCTGTTGCCGGTTCTGAACGGCTGATGGTTTTTCATGATGAACTTTTAATTTCGTGTTAGAAAATATTAATAAAATATTAACTAAATTTTGATTTTTGGAATATATGCAAAGCAGTTAAGCTTTTAATACAAGAAAAGCAAATTTTAAAGCTGAAACTCGGCTTCAACATGAAAACATTAACATGTTTGTACAAATTAAAAGACTTGAAACTGTAGATTACTCTACACACGATTCATATGTATACATATGTATATAAAGCATTACATAAATATGCATATGTATTTTAAAATTATTCTTTAAATTAGAACAAGCCAAATTTGGTTTGTCATATGCTTCAAATAATAAATTCATTTTCCATATTTTAGTTATTTTTTACACTGTTACAACAGGAATAATAATTAACTAAATTTATATATCTGTATGTATGTAATCATATCTTGCAAATATACGTTTAAATAAATAATAATTTAAGGACACTTCACCCTAGACATATTAAGGCTATTCACATCATGCAATTCACTTTGTTATTAATTAGTTGGTATTTTGTACAAGTACTCGTATATATAATATTATGTACATGAAGTTTTTTTAATGTATTTTAAAACTACAGCGTATGCGCTGACAATTTACCAACTAAAAAATAACAAATTCAAAATCACCTCAACGTGAAATGCCGATAAATTTTTTTCCAATATTTTAACTTAAACTGTATTTAATAGCCTCTCATTGTTATATATACACGAATAGATAAATTATTTATAGATACAAAAAATATTATAAACCAATTCTCTGATTTTATCACACATACTACTTTACAATATTGTTTTAAACGTATAATTGAAAATTGATTATACACAACTAAATTTACCAGGAACCAGGATGGGTATCCATAGTTCATACATATTTATTTGTATTGACATATTATATGATGTTGAGTGCTTACTCTGTGTTTTACCATTTTTAAATATACATATGTAAAAAATGTATTTCCAACTATGTTCTTGAACTTAACGATATATATTTTGTAACTGCATGAATTTTGCCAGCAAAACAGATTTAAAAAAAAAAAATATATATATACTAATAAAAATGAAGTATAATTGAAAATGTGCACAATTTGTATTATATATGCATTACTTAAGAGTTTAGTCTCAACGTTTACAAAATAAGTACAATTGATTGTGAAGTGTGTGTTTGGAAAAAGCAGATTGTTTACAGTTTTTCTTTGAATTTCTATCGTACCACAGTGTTGCTGAACAAAAAAAAAAAAAGTTCATATATTGCATATATGTAGATTCATAAACAACTACGTTGTTAAAAATTATATTTTATTAATATTACTTTAAATCGTAACAAATTCATAAATAATTGGGTGATATATATGTGTGTGTTATGTATGCTTCACGGTAGGTAAATTTTGTATGCAATGCAGTGGTTGTAATAAATAAATTACTGCATTTAAGTATTTTTATGTATATATGTATGTTTGTATTTCCATTTGTCAAAAATCAGTGCTTTTATTTGCAAATTTAAGTAAAAAGGGTTTGTTTTGATTCTGTTTTTTTTTTTGTATTGTATTTCTTTTATAGAAAACTTTTGCAAATTAATTTTGAATTGTTTTCTGTTTTTCTCTTTGATACTCACTAAGTTTTTCATATATGTATGTACTTAGTTGCTAGTAAATTTTTTTTGTATTTGTTTTTTTTTTTTTTTTTATTTTATGTTTTTATTTCTCCTTCAGCTGGTAAGAAATATTCTCTTTCGGTGCCATAGCTAAACACAGCGTTTTTCATTTTATTTTCTTGCTCAACTACGAAAAATTGAGGCTTGCATTATCTATTCCTCACTCGCGTGCCCCTTATTTGCGCCATTCTATTCATGTAACACTTTTTTTTAACAACGTTTCAATTATTTTGAGTTCACAAAACGTGACGCGAAATGCAAAATTTTCAATTCTTTCATACATTCAAACCATTTAAATGTGATAAATGCGTTGCGTTTGATGGGGGAAGCGGTTGGTTCTATGAACAACGAATTAATTACAAATACATAATGAAATAAATCACAAAAAGAAACAGGAAAAGGGACATTTGTAAACATTACAGTAGCAACCACATCATACAACCTATCTACGTATGTATGTATACATATATGTAGGATGATTATACATAATATACTATACATAAGCATCAGTAATGACTACTTATAGCCAATTAGTAAAGCATCGAAATAATTAGCATTTTGTACAGTTCAAACATATGTATTCTCAAATATTAATATCACAACATGAGATCATTTGTAAACTGCCTGACGCATGCGCGCACACACTCCACACATTATCACGCACACAAATCTCACAAAAAAAAAATATATATATATATACAGGCGCAAACGCCCACCCACACTCATTATCGCACACAAATACTTTTTTCGCACACATACAAATGAAGCAATTTTATAACAATAATGTTTACATTTATAAGGTACAAAATATGTACATATGTATGTACTGACACATATTAAACTCCATATTTTTTTATAATTTTTATAATGATTAGCTTATTTTCAAACAACAATAACAATGTTATCCAGAACTCACATGACGCTGTAAAATATAATAGTTTTGTGCAAATATAAATAAAAATTGAAAAAAACGTTGAAATTTGTATTAAAAAAAACTCGGGAAGCACGAGAGCGGTTTTGTAAACGGTATTCAAAATCTATGTATGTTCTTATGTGCATAATTAATTATTAGCTCTAAAATAACATATAAACTGATGTAAAATACGATATTAATAAATAAATGTTTAAAAAAAAATTTTAATTAAAAAAAAATTTAATTAAAAAAAATTTTAATTAAAAAATAATTGTACTTAAAAAAAAATTTAATTATAAAAATTTTAATTAAAAAATAATTGTACTTAAAAAAAAAATTTTTAATTAAAAAAAAAAAATTTTAAATTAAAAAAAAAAAAAGAAATTCAAAAAAAAATATTTTAATTGAAAGTTAAAAGCTATAAAAAAAATAAATAATTAAACAGGTTTTTTAAATATTAGCTCACGTAGAGGGCCTTCCATTATTATTGCATTAAAATGAAGATACTATTTATCCGAAGCCGTCAGACGGATGAATTAAGAGTACGACGTAGGGGACCAGCTCATGGTGGACGATTTCATGCCAATCTCAACGGGTGGTTGGTGACCTTTCTGGCCACTAATCTTGGTTTTTTATCGTTAACTCATGTGACACTCATACACCACACTTCTTTGTGTACGCAGCCGTTTTCACGTGGTTCCACCAAACTGTGATCAACGCTCAGTTCTTCATCTTCTTCGGTACAAAATATCATATTTCTAACGCTATTGACCGTAATACGATGATAAATTGTATAAACAAAAAAGTATGAATTAAAAACATTAAAACATATAATAAAAAAAATTTAAAAATTAAAAAAAAAAAATATACAAATGTACATATATTCAAAAAACTGTAATAACACAATCGGAAAAAAATTAATTAATAATAAAGTGAAACTAATTATATTATTAATAAAATGAAAATTAATAAAATAATTATTTCAAATATTAAAAAATAAAAAAAATAAAAAATCCACTTAAATCAAATAGACTACAATAATTTGAGGATTAATTTCAAATATTATATTTTCAATAATATTTTTAGATTTTCTTTAGATAAAAAAATAAAGTTAATCTAAAAGATTACAATGTAAAACAAAAATTACAAAAACGAAATAAAAGAGTATAACAAAGTAAAAAAAAAAATAAAAATTAAAAATAGAAAAAATGCAAACTGGCATAAAATATATATGTATCATATGCATATATAAAAATTATAGTTTGTAAAAATTATATTTAAAAAAAAATTAATTACAAAATTATAATTTAAAAAAATAAAAAAAATATAACCTAAGTATTTTAAAAAATTGAATATAAAGAGGCCTATTTAAAACAATAAATACAAATTACGAATTTATTTGATGAATTTAAATTAAATTTCTATGAAGCAGAGGTTGAGTAATTTTTAACCGTTATTATATTTTGGTCCATCACTGGATGTAAAACAAAATAAAAATAATAAAACTATGTAGAAAAAAATTGGAAAAAAAATTTAAAAAAAAATTGTAAAAAAATTTAAAAAAGTAAACAATTAAGAATATGAATTTGTTTGAGTCAATTACTTCCGAATACCGGGAAAATAATTTTGTAAAAATAATTATAATTGTATAAGCACTTGTTTTTTTTTTACCACTTTACATTATTCAAAATAAATATGTGATAAAGGCTGAAAAACTCATAAGGCAAAGTTTTTTCTCAGGCAAAACTAAATTTCACTATTTTTTTAGCGGATTTTTCAATGAATCTGATTTTTCTCTTATTCTAAAATGCTTTCAAAATATTACCAGGAGCAAGGCTTCCAGAATACGAGGTTACAACAATCGTTGACGATATCGAACCCACTTCTTGCTATCTATAATCGCCGAGACTTGGTATTTAGCAGCAAATCAACATATTTTTTTTTTTAATATACATACATATGCATGCGATCAACCCAGCTTTTTAGTAGAGGAAGAAAGTATGCGAAAAAAGGTTTATACATACATTTTTTTATAAATAATGCGCCGTTCGCTTGAAATTTTGATAATTTTTTAGGATTTTGACATTATTTGCTATTAAATAAACCTTGCCTTGTTCAGTTATTTTCATATTTGGACTCTATTGCTTTTCTATAATGATTTAGAGATTTTAAGATTTTCGAAATAAATTTAACAGATAGAGTTCATTACGAAAAAATTTCATACAGGAAATAAAAAAAAATTAAGTTTCGCTAAACTAAAGAACGGTGTACAAAAATTTAGAAAATAATGTGCTTTTCATTTTTAAAACTGATCACCTAATTTTGTTTATGTTAACCCCTTATTTTGAGAAGTGTTGAATAAATGTTAGGCAACATTTTGTTGATAGCAGTAAACAATTATTTAAAAAATTATTATTAACAATTAGATTGTTGATTTTTAAATAACAGTTGTCGCACTCACCGACATGGACTTAGCAGTGATTTACACAAATTTGTAAAAGCTTCTTGCCAGACAAATATTATCATATTGGAATTATATAATCTTATTTTAATTAATTTTAAATTAATTGCATAATATTTTAAGTACTTATTTTTTTGGGTTAGTATTTACTTACATCGGTGAGTGCTACTATTTTTGTTTCACTTTGTCATATACATTTTTTTTCGAACGATTTTTTTTTTGTAATTTTTTATTTTTTTATATAAAAAAAAATAATATAACTTCAAACAACTAGTAAATCAGCGGCAGCCACAGAAAGGCGTACAATAAATTATCCGTAATAAAGGGATTTATACTCTATAACGTTATAAGAAATTAAATTTTCTAAAAGTCTATATGCCTATGCCCCTCTCTTTACGGTTGCACCATAAAAAACACATTAAATAATAATGAGAATACCAAGTTACAAAAAAAAAATATTATTTATATACATAAATATTATTAGCATAAATTCAACAACATCAAATGCATCACATCACAACTCGCCACTGCCTAAATTTACATTATCTTTTGAAGAGAATGAATTTTATATATATATATATATAACACAAGCACACACCAATATTATTTTATAAAAGAACAATAATAATATGAAATCAAAAGATCAAATTATACTCGTGTATATGTGCAACAATTATTTGCACTAAAAAAAATCTAACTAATAATAAGCTATTTTCAAAAATCGGAGCGTTTTAATGTTTTTAACATAAATCGACATGTAAAATTTTAATATCTTCTGAAATCACATTATTATCGCTCTCTTAAAAAAAGTCAATTGGTAGTAGTTACAAGAGCCCATTTATCACACGTGTTTTGAAAATTCATGAAAATTGATGAAATATGATAATAAACATGTGGCATTGCACAAAACGCTTCAAATCATGCGTTCAACATCAATATAATAAAAACGTTGTTAAAAAAAATACTTAGAAAATTAAACGCAACCTAAATATCGCCCACTTTGAGCGTCATATTTTTACATGGCTGAACGCAGTATTTTCCCATCCACTTTTATGTAACTTGAAAACATTATTTGAAAACAAAAGAATATAAAAAAAAAAAATCATATTGCCTTAGCGTAAGTGTATAAAAGAGGGAGAGCAGAAATCGCGTGATTATACATACGTCTTTCGTTAAGCTGGCATAAAGAAAATCCACTAATTTTAATTTACTTAATTGCATGATCGCCAAATATATATAAATATATATATCTGTATGTCTATCTGCATGGTACATTAATATTATAGGTATACAACAATACAACTCCCAATTTTAAAACTAAAAAAAAATCGAAGTAAATATAAAAAATTAAATCATTTTTAAGTTTTACAATTAGAAAAACAAAAAGCGTTTAGTTTAAGTGCTGAAAGAAGTATTCGAAGCCGCACTGTCTGCTGGCTCCTCTTTGCCTAAGGCAGGCGTCTGTGGAACGAAGCTAGCTCCATCAGCATCTTGTTGGCTACTATTTCCCAAATTTGTATTACCAGTAATTTTAGCATTGAAATCTTCAAGCACAGCAGGTTTTATATTTACCGCTATTGCCCCTGTGTCATCCAACAATGCTACAACTCCTGCTTGTGTTTGCTGATGTTGTTGTTCTTTAACACATCGGATTGCTTCCCCAATGCCGGTGAGCTTCTGTAAGCTATGTAAAGTTTCCTCATTTATAGTGTGTTCCGGTGAGATGTTCTCTTTGATTTCCTGTTTCACTTCGGTGGATATGAGCGCAATATTATGTTGCTCTGTTGGTAGTGTAATGTTACTTACACCACTGCCATCAGAATCGCTTGATAAAATTTCACTTGAAACGCTGGTAAATGGATTTGTTACTATTGTTTGAGCTGCAATCTCATTTCCAAATGGCAGATTTTGTCGAAACACCTTACTTAGCGAGGCTTGGACGAATTCGGTCACATTGAAGGCTGGAAGTAATACAAAAACAAATAATTTATATGGTTGTTTATAGAAATAGCTATTACATTGATGCATATATGGTCGTAGGTATATTCGAGGTTCATTTTGGACGCCTTCAAACGATTTTCGATATAGCCAAAATCACCTGTGTTGCTGCAGCGGCTAGCTAGCCCGCCTATGAGCAGAAAAAATTGGTGTAATAAGTCATCCAAACGGAAATTCTAGTGAAAAAATAGGAGACCGGCGAGATTGTAGTTCACCCTTGAACAAATATTATCAACATCCTAGCCAGACGCCAATATCGAGCAGTCATCGGCATTTGATATCAAAGCAGCGACTTCTAGTGACGAAGAGAGCTCCGAAACGTAAGATTAAACAAAATGGGTGAGAGGACTCAGTTTAACTTACGAAGTTTTGAAGTATGCGATCGACTCTGTCGATCACTCAAATAGTTCCCGATCTACCTCTAAACCCCAGCGATAATAAGGATTCCTCAATGTCCGACAGTACGACTGCGTGATTGACGTTGACAAAAACTTTAGGCATTTCCAGTGCTAGCAGGCGTTAATTGCCGTTGCTGATGCGCTGTTAAGTTCAGGTGGTGAGATAAAGACAGTAACAGCAAGGCCTCGATTGTCTTCGCTAGCCGGCGGGGACAAAGACAAATCACAATATGGATGTGGACCAAAACTTGATTGCACAAAAAAGACAAAAAACTTTAATTTTTCCTCCCATTTGCTCCACTTAATCTGATTAACCATTTGCCCAATCTCAAGATTGAATTCTCTGATTTGGGGATCTACGATATCCACTTGGTGTAGAAATCCGCCCATGGATGCTAAATTTTGAATGATCCGGCACGCAATCCAAGCTAGCGGGAGCTATGACAATTGCCCAAAGTTCTGGTGGAAGCGTAGTTGTTCATTGCACAGTATGTCGAATCGTCTATCTGTTTAATGATTTTGTTTCAGTCGACAATAAACAACTGTGAGATTAACGTACTGATTTATATAAATCTGACATGATCGTGTCTAGAACTTATTGAACATCCTAGTGCTGAACTATATTCATACATATATGTTATTTATTTTATTAGAAGTGTCACTGCAAAAATGTAACTCACCTGTAGCATTATTGATGGCAACTGCTGTGTTATTGATAGCTGAGGGAATAATAATAGTGGGATTGTTCTGCGGTGGTGTACCAGCTGCGACCGATTGTGTCTTATTCTCTGGTGATGAACTCCGTTGAAAGAATAGCGAACGTAATTTGTCAACGGCGCCTGGATTTGCCATCCACGATACTTTACGTTGGCGTTGTTGGGATTCATCTGATGCCGACGTTGTCGCCAAAGGCGTAGTCAAATCTGATCCTGAGTTTTTGGTGAGCGTAATGTCGTTATCATTATCATTGAAAACGGCAAGTGGACAGCGGGTGGTAGCTGCATTTAAAAGTTCATCGCGCAAACTGATGTGTTCACCGCCACCAACGACACCACTGCCACTAACACGGTCTGCAGAATCAGACGAGCTGCTGGAGAATATCGCTGATAACGGTGAGGAAGTCGATGTTGATGAAGAATTCGAATGCAACGACGCAGGTGATGTGGAGGATGATGAGGATGAAGATGAACAAAGTGGCGATAATGTATTGCTATTAGAATGCTGTGTAGATGAGCTAGTAGTGGGGATGGTGTCTAAGGCCTGACAAACAATAGTTTCCGATATTTCAGTAACAATTTGTGCTGTGAGCGTTTGTTGTTGTTGCTGCTGCTGCACTGATTCCTTTGACAGCAGCAGAGATTGTGACTCTGACTGTAATTGTTCTTCTAGTTGCGCCGATTTCGGCATCTGCGCTCTTGTTTTTGTACTATCAGCTTCTTTAAGATAAACATTCTGACAAAAATCAGGAATATTTGTGCTACTAATGCCACCGCTAGCGTCCACAATGGCAGGCGTAGGTGGCGTAACGATTAGTGTTGTTGGTAACTCAACATTTTTGTCGGCAGACTCGCCACTATTCGCAGCAGTTGTAGTTAAATTAATCGGTTCTGTTGTACCGTCGATAGCTTTGACTTTTTCAACTGCCACCGTTGATTGTACTACCGCAGATGAAAACAAAACTTGTTTAACACCTTCCGGTGCATGCTTTGCTATTGGCGTAGGCGGCAAATGGATCGGTGGTGTAATTGGAGGCAACGAGCGACTCGATAATGGCACTCGTGGATCCTCGTAAATTTTCGATACCAAAAAGCGTGAGCGTGGTGATACCGAGAAACGTTTTATGGATTGTGTCGACGATGTAACTGTAGCCATTGAAGGCAGTGAACTGGACGTTGGGAATGAACAAGACGACGCCTGTGTTGCATTTGGCGAACTCTTGCAGGTCATATCACCGGGCATAGAAACTGTACTGCCATTACTATTAGTAGCTAACGACGATGTAGACGATGCCGTTGATGGTGGCGTCTGAGCCAATGGCGATGTCAACGGACTAACTTCAGTTACGCGAAATACTTGAAAACGGCTGCGGTTTGGCGATGAAGATGGCGAAATTGTTGGTGGGCTGGGCACAGGTGAGCGTAGACGCGCACCAGTTTTACGTTTCGCTTCCAGTTTCGTATTAACTGCTGATGTTTGTGTTGTGTTGGTCGCTACCACTGTTGTTGGTTCAAATAGTGGGCGCGTATGGCAAGTTAAGGATATTTTTCGTGAACCCAAATAGTAACCGCTACGTCTTTTGATACCCGCACCACATGCATGTGGTTTGTCTGATTGTAATTGAGTTTGCGTTTTCTCATTGCGCGAACACATTGAGCGCACATTTTCTAATACCCGTGTATAGTCCATATGCGCTTCACTACCCACCTGAAAAAGCAGTAAAAAGGAAAAAATTAATTAATTAAATTGCAAATGAAAGTTATATTCATTTTAAGCATGCAGCATTTTTTTTTTTTTGGTGGAAAGAAAAAATATAATTATAAGCAGCATAAGAGCATTTTTATTCATTGTAGCATTCAAACAAAGCGTCATTTCAAAAGCAAAAGCTAAGCCATTCCTTCAGACAGCCACTAATTTGTGTAAAACGTTGACGACCTTACTTACACACTCCTCCATTGATTTTGATGATGGTTGGTATATATCCGCGACGTGAGGCACTATTTGTAATTTCTCAAACTTGAACGCAAAACATGCAAAGTACAAAAATATATTTGTTCTTGATATTCAACTTTTAATGAATTTTTTAAGAAGTTATCTAGTATTATAAACAAACTAAAAATGAAATTAAATAATATTAGAATGAAGAAACAAAAACAAAAAGAAAAGCAAATTCAATATTCCTTGTTCCATAAAACAGTTTAAAGAAAAACAAAAGAAGTTTTTTTACTTGAAATAATTTTTTATATTCAATTCTTAAACCTTTCATTTAAAAATGTTAAGCTTAACTATCATTGACGCAGCCGAATTTCATCTTTATATAAAGCAGCGGCTACGCTGGCTAGGTCCTGTGGTCCGGATGAATGCGAATTCTCCAGCTCTGAAAGTTTTCGATGCAGTACCCGCCAGTGGAAGCAGAGGAAGAGAAAGACCTCCCCTATGTTGGAAAGACCAGGTAGAGAAAGACCTGGCTGTTCTTGGTATTTTGAATTGGCGCAAAACAGCACAAAAAAGGAACGAATGGCGCAATGTTGTTAAATCGGCCAAAATCGCGTAAGCGGTGTCTGCGCCGGTAAACTAAGTAAGTAAGATATTTTTTTCATTTTAACGCAATGAATATGTTCTGTTTCTGCTTAAGAAAATACAAGACTTGCGCTTTATAACTTACTTTTTATTGAAAATTAATATTTTTTGTTTAGTACTTTAAATTTTAATATTATCGAATGGACAGCTAATATAAAATCTCATAGATGTAATATCAGCTATATGACTTACTTAACAATGGAATTTCATGATCATTTAACGAGTTTACTGCAGCTACTGAATAAAATCAAAATTGTATAACCTCAATTAACAGCCCGTAACTCAACTACAAAGCCAATAAACCCACACGCATAATGTACATACATATGTGTATGCATCCTTACTTACCGACAATCTCTTTGGTTCGTCGTCTATATCGATTTGAGTAACAGTTGTATTTGATTTTAGCACCTCAGCAATTTTTGTTAAACTCTCCACTTCCAGTTTATTGTCGCGTATATCTAGACGCTGTAACGTACTATTGCCACCAAATGTCAGTATTGAAGCCAATGTCTCAATACCATTCGCACTCAAATGAGCACTTTGTAGCCCCAGTGTCGTCAATGTCGTATTCCGCATGAGACCGTCTTTAATGCGACTGACAAAGTCATTAGATAAACAATTTTTGCCAATATTTAACAATTCAAGTGAATTGGTTACGGTCAATAGATTCGCTATGTAGTAACCAGCTTCTTTACTTAAATTATTATTCCAGAGTGCAAGCGCTTTCAATCCACTTGGTGTCTTTACTGTGGGCTCGTTGCGTGGATCCGATTGTCGTTGTTGACGCGTTAGTGTATCATTTTTGGTAAGCTTCTCATTTAATTGTGTTGAAGTGGAAAAGTTGAGATCGCTACTATTGCTACCGTCCAGTGAATTGTCGCTACAAAGGCTATCTGAGCTTTGTGAACGATGTCGCGTGGCAGGTGTAATGAAAGTAACTGACGATTCTGTACGACGCATACCATGACTAGCACCGCCAGGCGATGTTGATGGTGGCGGTGGCGTTGGTATTAATCTATTTCCATGCGTTTCTTTATCCTTTTCGACCAAATTATCGGCAGCGATGGTGACTTTCGGCAGTGAGGGCAATTCACTCAATACATTTTCTACTGTTTCCTCCGTGGTAGCTGCAAGCTGACTAACATTAGTTTTTGTTGTCGTTTGGGTTGTTGTCACAGCATTCTCTTGGACCGCCGTCTTCGCCACACTGGCATATGTATTGGCGGTGAAATCCGTATTCGGAGTTATTGTTCGACAATTCGCGTCAATATCTTCGCCTAAAGCGCTCAGCGAGGCGTTCAATTGTCCCTGATTCAAAGGAGATGGTTGGGTTGGTGTAGAGGTTGGTGTTACACCAGCGTCTGCCAAATACTCTGTAGACTCGGTAGCGATTGTTCCCGTCTCAATGGCTCCACCCTTAACAATATCATCTATAGGCGCACCATCAAAAGAAGACGATAGCCGACTATATTCTTCCGGTAAATGCCTGCTAATATCACCTTCGGAGGCACTTTCAAATGCAGAATCTGTACTGTGCGTATCGTCGTAATCATCCGTCAACTTTGTATTTTTATTCACATCGACAGCTTTAGAAGAGGGTAATTGTTGTTGTAAAATTGATGCTGTTTGATCGATAGGCATATGTCCACCAACAACTTCGGAAATAGCTGATGATGCCTCAGCGATGGTACAATCACCTTCGCCAGCTGTCACTTCGAATATGCCTGCAACATTTGGCACATTTCCTTGCTGACGTAGAATATTATTCTGGTTTTGATTATCTTGGTCTTGCGCTGCGGACCTGTTTACGTCTTGGAATTTTCTGCAATCATCTTCACCCCCATCATTATCTGAAGAAATTGTGCTGTTTGTTGTATTATTGTTGCCATTGCTTTCATCGTTACGTAATGGTGATGTTGTCGTTAGAATATCACTGTGTTTGTTGCTAGGAACAACGGCCGCTTCTGCACTGCTGCTGTTGGTGCTATTGTCGAAAATTGTGCTGGCAGGACTCGTTTCTGAAGAAGTAATGTCTAAATAATTATTAATAAATTAAGAACCTGCACTCAAAAATGCAATTTAAAAAAATTAATTTAATTTTAATAAATTAAAATATATTATAGAAAATTTAATAAATTAAATTAAATTAAATACACAATAAAATAGCATAAATAAAAAGAAAAAAATATTAAATAAACAAAACTTATTTAACTAAATATAAACAAAAACATAATAAACTCATATAAAATAAAACAGAATAAGATAAAATGAAATAAAAATCTAATATATACAATAAAATAAAATTAAATCAAGTGAAATATGAATTAAATTTAAAAAACATTAAATAAAAAGTAAAACTAAAAAAAGTAAAACTACTAAGACTAAAAAACTAAACCAAAATAAAAATAAAATCAAATAAAAAAATTAGAAAGTAAAAATAATATTTGAGAATACAAAAAAATGAAATGGTTTAAAATAAAAAGAATTAAAATAAATAATATTAAAGAATATAACATGAAACAAAATTAAATTAAATAAAATAAAAAGTATACAATAAAATAAAACATAAAACAACAATAATATAAATAAATTGAAATGAAACAAAACAATGTAAATTAAAATTAAATTAAATTAAATTAAATTGAATAAATAAAATCAAAATAAATAAAACTCAATAACAAAAAATAAAAAATTAAATTAAAATAAATAAAACAAAACAAAATGAATTAAAACTAAAATAAATTAAATTAAATGAAAGTAAATATAAAAAAATGAAATAAAAGAATATAACATGAAACAAAATTAAATAAAATAAAATAAAAAGTATACAATAAAATAAAACATAAAACTACAATAATATAAATAAATTGAAATGAAACAAAACAATGTAAATTAAAATTAAATTAAATTAAATTGAATAAATAAAATCAAAATAAATAAAACTCAATAAAAAAAAATAAAAAATTAAATTAAAATAAATAAAACAAAACAAAATGAATTAAAACTAAAATAAATTAAATTGAATGAAAGTAAATATAAAAAAATGAAATAAAACACAATAAAAAAAATCATACAACAAAAATAAAACATAATTATTTTATTTAATGAAATAAAACAAAACAAAACCAAGTAAAATAAACTTAAATTAAATAAAATAAAGTAAGAAAAGTGAAATATATAAAATTAACATATTAATTATAATTAACATATCAAATTATTATGATATTTTTCAATCTAAAAACTCACCAATTAACACGATTTCATCTGCGCTTTTAGCTTGGCATGTTTTTAAGCCCAATAAGCTTTCTAAATGTGCTGCCGTACCTGTAACATTATCTGTTGCCGCCTTGCTGCCTTTGTTATTTTTATGAGTGTCATTCGATGAAGTCGCTGTCGCTCCCGTTGGAACTGATGTATCAAATATATCGTCACTAGTAATACTTGCATCCTCAGAACCGCATGCCGCTATTGTATCCGTAGATATATTTGAAGCACCATCTTCACTGCTACTTTCGCTATTCATTGACAACAACTTATCCAACATCGATTGCCCACTTGGCGCGAAGGCTCCATTCTTATGATTGCTAGATTTAACTGTATCTTCTGTATCATCATCACCATCGTTTTCATCGACTGACGCTATAACAGAAATCGTCGTTGTCGTCGTCGTTGTCGTCGTCGTTGGAGTTGTACCAACTATAGACTTGTCATTTATACTATTTGCAATTGCTTGGGACGTCGGTAATGAATCTGGCATTGTGTCATTTGTGACTTTGTCTATGGCCAGAGATGTTGTAAAGTCATCATCCAGTGGCTTTTTAGCATCTGTTAATTTATCTACTTCACTTTCACTAGTTCCTGAGCTTTCGTCCGTACTATTCTTCCCATTATTGCTAAAGGACTCGCTAGTATCTAAATCAGTTGTTTGCGAGGCTTCAATTGACGATAAACTATCATCATCATCGATTGCCGCAGAACGGTGCAGCATAGATCGTCGTTCCAATTCACTAGACTGTAGTATTAGTGCTTCTACGATGTAAAGGAGGCCCAAATCTCTTATATTGTTGTTACTTATATCGATCAGTTCAAGGTAATGATTATACTTCAATAAAGAGCCAAGGGCCTCAGCATCTTTGCAATCTAAATCATTATGTGCTAGCCAAAGCTCCTTAAGCGTGGTATTTGAGCGCAATTTAAAACCTATTAAAGCGTATTTTTTTAATTTTATTTTTATTTTTAATGATATAACATTTATGTATGTACAAATTTTCAAAACAAAAATTCTTACACAATCCATCGAGCGCACCCTTCAATCCACAATGTTCTAATTTTAATGTATGTAAATTTGATGTACTTATCGCCAGTCCCAAGCCGTCTGCACTTTGCTTAGAAATTGGATTGCCTTGTGCGATTAATACGCGCAATTCTTCGCTATGCTTCACCATAGCCATACAACCAGCCCAACCACGTGAGGTCATACCCTTAGAATTGGATGATATATCCAACTCATTGGTTGCTTCATAATACTCAATCATTTCAAAAAGTGCGCTTGTTGCCCACTCATCCAGTTCACATGAGGAGAGATCTATAACTTTATATTGTACCTGAAAAATACATTGATCACAGGAAAAATATGTTCTTCAATATTTCCCGCAATCCTCAAGTATCGAATTTTGTGTAGATCGATTACCCGCTTGAAAATTTCTTCCAGTGCTTCACAATCGCTGGCTGCCAATTTAATTGATTTCAACGATAACACTGGCTGACGTTGTTGTTTATTCAATTCAACACCCTTCAAATGATCCAATACGGTTTGCAAGGGTTTTGTTTTATGTTTGCGGCATGACATCACATAGAGCTCGGCAATTTCGGAGATGCTTTTAACCAAGCATGCTAAAAATGAATAAAACAAATATTTATTATATACATTTCTATATATGCATGTACATACGTTGTGTAATATATTGATTTTAAAACAAAGAATTCCAAAATATATGTAATCATATATGTATATACAAATGTACTATTTATTATTTCATTTCATTTCATTAAACCGGAAGTTAAAGAAAAGAAAAAACTGAGAAATATTTCACATACTTTTTTGTTTGTATGAAAAAGTATTTCAGTTTTTTCGCAAAAATTTTCTTACATACATATTTACATATTTGTACATATGTATATACACATATTTAACAGAGAAAAAAGTACGTACATATTTAATCGAGCAATGAGCTTTCGTGCTTATAAATAATGCTTTTCGTCCTGTCATTTTCGAAATTAAAAAACTAAAATATTTCAAATTACGAGATAGCTTCTATTTCTGTAAGTTTTCTTATTGCAATATGAGTCAAATATAGTAAACACGTATTTATATCACTAAAACTCGTAACAGACTCGACCCTCTTCCTATGCACCGCATTTGGAGTCAAGAGATAAACTTAGTTTATGTAAGTCAAGAGAGCAACATCGTGCTTCCTGGCGCGAAACCAACTCTGATTACGATATTTTTACTGTGTGCGCCTTTGACGATTTCGTCTATCATCCAGTTGATAAGAACCTGTGAAGAACTGCATTCCAAGTCTATACGATTGTGTCCTCAGAACCATAACCCACTTTGAACAAACATCAACAGAGCTCCATGTTTGACTGAGCTCCCTCAACATGGTTGCCGCCCTTTTCAAATCCCTAAATCCCCACACATTCAGTTTCATCTTCCGTAGGGGCCTTAACTAACAGCTCCTATTATCCCCCAGTGTTTATTTAATGTATCAGCTGGTGGAGAAGCGATGACCGGGTGGATATTTCATTCGAAGATTGAGATGTATTTTAGCTGTTTTTTATTTACACTGCACCCCCTTCCGTTTTCAAAATTAAGGCGGCAAGTGACCCATCATCACCAGCGACGCTTTTAATTGTTACAAAGAGAAAGTTCGATGGATGATATTGTTAATACAACCAGGTCCAGCAGGAGAAAATTTTCTCATTAAGAGCCCCAAACTGTTTCTGCATACTCTGACATACGCGACAGCATAAACGTATAGTGTGCTCCTACTTGAACCGGGAAAACTATCAAGTAGAGGAGAATCATAACAGCCGATGTATTTCCTTTCTGCAGTAGCGAAAACACCTGAGGTCTTGCTGCTGCCGTTTTTGACTCACCAACTGAGTCAAGCAATACATAAACTCGATTTTCGAAATGTTAACTCTTTCAAAACTGTTTGCAATGAATCCCCCACGACACTAACAACCTCTATATCGCCCAAAACCAACTTATCTAATCTCCCCTTTCTTCTGGGCCGAACCAAACAACTCGTTTTCTTGATCTCCCGTTAAATGTTCTCGATGACTGAGCTATCCTGCTCCTAACAAGAACAATAACAATAACAAAAACAACAACAACAAACCCGACAACAACAACAACAACAACAACAACAACAACAACAACAACAACAACAGCAACAACAACAACAACAAGGTTTATAACGCCATACAACACTCTGATAATTCGTGGTCTCAACCAAAATTAAACTCTGCGTGCAAAATGTGGCGGTAGTATTGAATCTGTCAAAAGCCTTTGACAAAGTCAATCACGCAGAGCTACTATTGGACATCGGGGGATCCATATTACCACCGCGATGATTTACGAGAGTGGCCAACAGTCGTCGATAGAACTTTGAGGTCAAACGAAAAATAAAACATCGATTTAAAAGGATGGGCGAGCACCAACCTATGTTCAATTTTTACATGAAGACATCTACACCATCATAGGGTGTTTCACAGATCTCATATTAGGGGCTCGACCTGGATGTAAAAGCTGCTGAAGTGAAATTTCGGTCAGTTTACAAACCCATGTTACTGGAAATCACATTCAGCAACAACAAAATCCTCAAGTCGCTAGCCGTCATCATCTGAGTGAAAGACAAAGAAACATTGCTAGTAATTTACATTGCTAAATTGGCCGGCCAGTCGATCTTGACGCCGGCGGTTAGAGAGATGCAGTTGTAGAAACTACAAGGTTGTCATAATACCGCCCTAAGGACTAGGATGGGAAACCTTCTGATGCCGCCGTCTATGCACCACTTAAGTGAAATTTTTATATTCCCAGTTAAGCAGCATAATATTATGCTGTGCTAGAAATACCTGTTGGAAAGCTACCGTCGGGATCACTGGAAGCTAAACCACCACCCCTACAACGCCTTGCAAGCCCACTAAAGGTAACTCAACTAACACCCTTCTCTCTCGGGTCCGAACTCGTCGAAACAACTCGCTTCCTGGACATACCGCTAGATTACCTCAATGACTTACGACTGATTTACACACGCCTACATATAAAAAATCTTTATAACAAGAAAATTATAATAATTAGAAACAATGACAATTTTCATATGGTTTCTAAAAGCATTAGCATTACACTCTTCATATCTAACCAAAATAATAACAAAGCGCCAGGAAATGCTTATAAGCAAATTACTGATTATTATTCTCTGAATATCGATCTTCAAACACGAAAACTGTAGAATTATTATAATAAAATAAAATTGTGAATTTAGGATTTGAAAAAATGTACAGAAAAAAATCTCGTTCGCCATTCTTCATGAAACGAATAGCGGCGGTTTTTTTTTTTGCTCATTTCTTGTAGAAATCAGCTCACACCCAAACGTAATTAATAAACATATTAAGCAAACAAAAAAAAAAAAATAACATCCATCAATTTTAAAAATAAAATGCTTTGCAGTGTACAAAAAAAATACATATGTACAAATGTAAATATATATGTATACAAAAAATTTAGTGCGCCTTGCAACCCCCGCACAAAACCCATACACCGACCGACACATTGTGGTGAGGAAAAATTAAATAAATAAATAATTAAATATGAGAAAATTTTTCGTTCATATTTTTAGATATTTACCGGTGTATTGTGCCTTAATGAATCACAAAGAATTACTTTGTATATATACATACAAATATAGCAAATTTATTCCCGGCAACGATTCGGCAAACAAATAAATAAACAACAAACGAAAGAAGAGCACTGAACAAACGATAGTAGACGTTCTGGTGACATTGGCATAAACAAGTGTATACATATACATACATACGTGCGTATGTAATTTATATACATATGTATGTACATATTTATTTATGTATATCATGTATTTGTTAAGATGATGAACGTTGACAGGCATCGTTGGATATGACGTGGCATATATTATATATATTTCTACGAACGTACGAAGTATTTGACGCTATTCGATGATCGCGAAAAATTCTAATTGATGCGGCATAAACCAAAAGGACGCAACTAATTAATTCCTAGTATTAAGTGTATGGACGTAAGTGCGCAAGCTAGCGTACATTTGTAGGCATTGATATTTATGTATTATAAATACAATTATTCGTTAATAAAAATGCGATAATGCCATTTTATATTGTTTGGCAATAAAGTCCTACTCCATCATCTCATTCATATTTGCTTGATAAGTTGTTAGACTTTTGCTCGGCATTGTTTAATTATATTGCTTCACAACCCTAATGATCTTTCCATGATTAAAAAATACTCAACAAACAATTATTATGTTATATTTACGGCAATAAATACAATTATACTTATTATTCCTATTTTCTTTTTGTCAAAAATCATATTACTTCTATTAATTGAAGTCTATTTAATAACTAACCTTATTTTAAGTTTCAAATTTGTATTAAAAAATGTTAGTTTTTAAAAGATTCAATTTTTTTATTAAAAATATAATAATATATATAATTATACTTATTATTCCTATTTTTTTTTTTTGTCAAAAATCATATTACTTCTATTAATTGAAGTCTATTTAATAAATAACCTTATTTTAAGTTTCAAATTTGTATCAAAAAAATGTTAGTTTTTAAAAGATTCAATTTTTTTTATTAAAAATATAATAATATATATAATTATACTTATTATTCCTACTTTTTTTTTGTCAAAAATCATATTACTTCTATTAATTGAAGTCTATTTAATAAATAACCTTATTTTAAGTTTCAAATTTGTATTAAAAAATGTTAGTTTTTAAAAGATTCAATTTTTTTATTAAAAATATAATAATATATATAATTATACTTATTATTCCTATTTTTTCTTTTTGTCAAAAATCATATTACTTCTATTAATTAAAGTCTTTTTAAGAAATAACCTCATTTTAAGTTTCAAATTTGTATTAAAAAATGTTAGTTTTTAAAAGATTCAATTTTTTTTTATTAAAAATATTATAATATATATAATTATACTTATTATTTCTATTTTTTTTTTTTTTGTCAAAAATCATATTACTTCTATTAATTAAAGTCTTTTTAAGAAATAACCTTATTCTAAGTTTCAAATTTGTATTAAAAAAAATTTTAGTTTTTAAAAGATTCAATTTTTTTTATTAAAAATATTTTTTTACTTATATTATAGGCCTATTCAGTGCACTTGATAAATTCACCATTTTGATTACTTATCAAGATTTACAATTTATCAAGATATTTCTATTGTGTCATAAATAAAAGGCTCTTTTCTTGATAATTTGTCAAGATGTCAAATGCACTTGACAGTGTTTTTTTTTTACAAATAAATCCCCTTAGTTGTAAGCAACACATTTTTATATTGGAATATACATATTTTAATTATATTTCTGTTATTGCGCCAAGTGGAAAATTGCGAAAATAGGGATCGCTCGCGTCACTAAAGAAGAAGAGACTCTAGCTAACGTTAGACTTGCGAAATTTGCCGTCAACCTGACTGTGTTTTAAAAATGTTGCCTGAACCACCAAGTTGACAGTATATACGTTAAGGTGAAAGAGCTAGGTCCAGATATATTTCATCGATATAGTTATTAAATAATCAAAATGTAAACATTTTCAAATTTGAC